CCCCGGCCTCTGTTTGGCAGATGCTGGGATTGTGCGACGGGGTCACGTGGGGATCCCTGTTCTGTTCATTCCCTCTGGGGCACCTGCACTGGCCACTGGGATGGACGGACCTTTGGGCTGCCCCAGCTGGGCTGTTCTTGTGCTCTTCAGGGTGCATTGAGCCCCAGGGCACCTGACCCCAGGGCTTTCAGCAAACTAGGCCAGAGGTGTGGCTCAGTGGGAGGGTGCCTAGGGGATGGAGTGGGGGTGTTGGAGCCTGGGCCCCTGCTCCAGGGGCCACTGTGGAGCCTGCAGGTTGGGGCATGGACAGGCTGGAAATCATCCCCCATTGTCCTGACACCCCAGAACTCGGGGGTGGGGGGCAGAGAGGCTTCCCCATGCCAGCGCCGAGTGGGGCTGTGGCACAGCAGCTCTCCGCTCCTCCTGGGCAGCACCCTGCGCCGGAAAGTCTTGGGCTTCCCCAGGGTGCCGGCCGAGCCAGAGGCATGGGGGGAAGGAAGAAGCCTGCCAGCCAGGCTGTTGGTAGCTGAGTGCTCCAACCAGGGGTTGGTTGTCTGCACAGCACTGGGATCCTGTGGGTAGATGGAGGACCAGTGGGGAGGGGAGGGGAGGGGCAGAAGGGGAAAAACAGAGAGGGCAGTGAGAGGGGGGCACGGAAAGGGCTGATGGGCGGCTGATTCGGCCGCTTTTCCAAAATAGCGTATTTCAAGAAAAAAATGGTGTTATTTCAAAAAGAAACCCTTCCTTCAAAATAACCCTTACTCCTTAAAAAATGAGGAGCGGCTGCTGATGGTGGTTATTTCAAAAGAAGGGTTTTTTCTTGAAATAACCGTGTCTAAACAGTGTTTTTTATCTCAAAATAGTGTATTTTGAAAAAGCAGCCAGCCACCATTATGCAAATGAAGCACGGGAAATTCAAATCCACGCTTCATTTGCAATTTCGTTTGTCTGCATTTGCATTCTCTCTCAAAAGAGGAATGCATTGTAGACATACCCTGAGTTACCAACCATAGGGCTGTTAGTGTCTACTTCTAACTAACTTGCACCGTTAGGCCACATCATCACTCCAGAGAACATCGCCATTGTGGCAATTGATCTTCTGGAGTTTGATATAGTAAGACTAGTTAAGATTCGCTAAATCAAACTCAGAGGGAGCCCTCACCAGCATTTGGTACTCCTGCTCTTTGCTCCCATCTTACTCCCTCGGTGGGCATGCTGCCAAGCTCGTCTGACAGCAAAGCTGACTCCAGCTACATAAGGAAGGATGGTGGGAAGAGCAGACACATTGGCCAGGCACCTCCCTCACCTCCCCCTGTACCTAGCTGGTGCCTGGGCCAGCTTAGCCATGGGGATGCTCTCTGGGAATTTTCTCCCAGCTGCTCCATGTGTTGCCTTTTGCCCATCCCAAGGGAGAGGAGAGGAGAGTCACTCTCCATGGCTGCAGGAGCTGCAGAGGTTGCACCCTCAAGCTCTCTAGGTGCTGACACCCCCAGGGAATCACCAGGGTGTGTGGCGCTGGCTCTCCTGTCCCAGCAATTGCAGTCAGAGCCCTGCCTTGCCAGTGCCAGGCACAGCAGCCTCTGCACCCGCTCCAGGCTTGTGGTTTCCTTCTTCTCAACGTTCCTCCCCAATCAGCCTTTTCCTGAACCAGCAGTTCCATGGGTGGCCAGGGGAGGCCTCTTCTGTGTCCCAGAAGGACCTAGGAAAACACATGGGCTGTGTCTAGACTGGCAAGTTTTTCCGCAAAAGCAGCCTCTTTTGCACAAAAACTTGCCAGCAGATTATCAGTACACCATGGCACATGTGGACATGAGTTCCAACATTCTGTTGTATGACTGCAAGTATTTCTGGTCCCAGGGGTTCCAGTGCCTAGCGGAGCAGAAGAGGACCAGCCTGGAGTATCTAGGAGATCTTGGATGTCATTGAGTGTGTAGGGAGATGAAGTCATCCTCACAGAGCTCAGAACCAGAAAGAGGAACTCTGAGATTTACGGTAGGATTGCAAGCTGTCTCGGGGCAAAAGGATATTCCAGGGATGCCCAGCAGTGCAGGGTGAAAATCAAGGAGCTGTGGAGTCCCAGCAGAAGGCCAAAGAGGAGAGCAGATGTTCTGGGGTGGCACCTCACACCTTCTGCTTCTATGGCCAGCTGGATGCTATTCGGCGGGGGGCCGCGCCAGCTACCCCAGTGTGGTCATCAAGTCCAGCCAAGACACAGCTGACTTCAGCCAGAAGGAGAGCAGGGCGGTGGAGGGACACAAGGAGAAGAAGGAGACTAGCCAGCCACCGATGCCTGAGAGCTAGGAGGATGTCATAACAGTGGAGCCGGTCCCCACCCTCTCAGGACATCTCCCAGGCCATCGATGACCCTGGGGTGGGCACTTCCAGTGAGTTCACAAACTTTGTTTAACTACAGGTAGTTCAGGCAATGGGGTGCGAGGTGCAGTGTGCTCTCTCTCTCTGCCTACACAGCATGGGGGGCATGGAACAGCTTGTTAACATGTCAGCAAACATAGCACAAGTCTTGTCTGCATAGTTCCATGAAGCTCTCACGTAGGAACTCTTTAACCTTTCTCGCAAGGTTCTTGCGGAGGCCAGCCTTATGCCATCCTGCACGGTAGGATACCTTGGAGCAGGTAATTAAGGAAATCATATGCAAACACTTGGAAGGTGTTGGAAGTGATAGGGAATAGCCAGCATGGGTTTGTGAAGAACAAGTCATGCCAAACTAATCTGATAGCTTTCTTTGATAGGATAACGAGCCTTGTGGATAAGGGAGAAGCGGTGGATGTCATATACCTAGACTTTAGTAAGGCATTTGATACGGTCTCGCATGATATTCTTATTGATAAACTAGGCAAATATAACTTAGATAGGGCCACGATGATTCTATGATTCTATGCAAATCTCCGCCAGCCGCTAGGACTGTAGAGTTGCCATATGAGGTTTGGCAGGGTTGGTGGGAGGGAGAAGTGCAACAAACATTGATCCTCTGGATTGTAAACCCCCTTAAGTTTTACAATCCACTGTAGGTTTTACAATCTACACTCCCCTGCATCAATTTTATCCTAGTGGGGCTGGACCCAGCTCCTGCCCCTGCTGCTTCCCCTGGCCCTGCTCACAGCTCTGTGACTCCCACATCACTCCCCAGCCCCACCCCCACCCCCAGATCCTACTTTGCATCTCTTCATCCTTCCACTCAGCATCCCCCTGTCCCAGATCTGCCCCCCCCCCAGCCCTGCTCCCCCCTGGGAGGCTGGTTTGCACAGAGCCCATGGGGCGGGGATGTGGCCAGGAAGCTCCTGGTCTGACAGAAGCACCAATGAGCAGGGGTTTGGTGCTTTTCCCCTCAAGCAGTGGGGCTGAGTGGCTAAGGCCTCAGGTGTCTGTGCTGGAGACCCTGGTTCCAATCCTCCCTGTGACACTGTGCAGCTTCCTTTCATTTCTGAGTAGAACAGGCTGCAGAGGAGCCCAATGCTGGATTGTCCCTGGGGCTGGGAATGTGAAGTCATAGAACTGGGAAGGGCCTGCAGATACAAACAGTCTCAGTGGGGGTGAGTGGAGGGCAGCTGCAGGGAACCTGGGCTGAGGGATCCGTCTCTCCAGCCTCCCCCTCATAGCTCTCGAATGCCACCACTTCCTCTGCCCCCAAATAACTGCCTGTCGCATGTGTCTAACTGGTGTGACTGCAATTCTCAGGCAACATGTTCCCCAACAAAACCCCCACCAGCAGTGACACCCTTTACCTGAGCCCGGCCATCAGCGCTGACAGCATCTGGCTGTCAAGGTGTCAGCCGACGGTCAGGGCAGTGAGTCCCTTATGACCGGCTGAAGTTCTTTTTAAATTGTGCTTGGTTCTGTTACAGCAACTGAAGGAGTTAGGAAGGACAGCGTTGTATCCGGCTGCTGGTGAAGGTACCAGCTGCTTCTCCAGAAGCACCTTTCCCAGTACAGGTGCTGCTCCCCAGATTCCCTAAGGGATTCAGTCTCTTGCTGCCCCCGAGTCCTGGCTGCAGGTCCCAGGCACAGGAAACAGCAGTGAATAGGCACATGACTGACACTGCAAATCTCCAGCCCCCTGTTCTGCAGCCTGGCAAGGAGCAGCGATGCCTGTCCCCGAGAGACAATAATTCCAGCTCCTGGAAGCCAGCTGCAGGACACATGAGTTCCCCAGTACAGGGCATTAAAGATCTTCACCATGGTACCCAGCTGTAGGGCAGCCCCATGCAACCAGCCACCTCCCTGTCAAGCTCCTGTCTCATCATGGCTGGGCCCAGGGGCTGCTCCCCAGACTCTCCCAGGACCCCTTGTCTGTCCTCAGAGCCCCAGCACCAGCTGCCCTCACACCCACTGTCGCTTGCATAAGCCAGTGTGCATGAGAGTCTCCCCAGAGCCCCAGCACCAGCTCCCTTCACACCCACTGTCACTTGCATAAGCCAGTGTGCATGAGAGTCGGGGAGACTGTGCAAGGAACAGACACAGCAACCGCCAGGCTAAGCACGCGGGTGACAACTGCTCTCTGGGCCAGCGCACCCAGGACTGAATTTAGAGACCCCTACGCTGCAAAGCACAGGCCACCATGCCACAGTTCATGATAAATATTCACCACTTTAGAACAGTATCAGCTGCACACACTCACCAGTGGGTTACATGGGCACTAGAGAGACAAGGGAGTTAAAGAGCTGAAGGGCCAGGTAGGGAAGAGGCAATAAGAGTCCGTAGCTGTGATTGTCGCCCTTCGTCCCAGACTGCTCCATTAGATCCCCATGCCAGGCAGTGAAACCTCCAGTCACTTGTTACCCCTTTCTCACTGAGGCTACGTCTACACTGGCCCCTTTTCCGAAAGGGGCATGCTAATTTCACAGGTCGTAATAGGGAAATCCGCGGGGGATTTAAATATCCCCCGCGGCATATGAGCACACACCCAGAAAGACAACACCCAGACATAAAGTTCAACCAGCCCATTTCTGAGCAGAAGCAAGTGAAACTAAATTCCTCTCTGGTCTCTTTCCTGAACGAGAAGCCATGGCTGCTGCGAATCTGGCAAAAATGCTCCAGGGTGAAATGACCTGTCCCCTCTGCCTGGAGTGTTTGAACGACCCGGTGTCTCTAGACTGTGATCACAGTTTCTGCCGAGCCTGCATCACCCAGTGCTGGGGGGAACTCGCTACAGACGTCTCCTGCCCTTTGTGCAGACAGACCTTTCCCCGGGGGAAGCTCAGGCTGAACAGGCAGCTGAGGAATATTGTGGATGCAACTAGAGAACTCCTGTTGCAGTCAGGGAGAGAACCAGCTGCAGAGAGACTGTGTGAGAAGCACAGGGAACCTCTAAAACTCTTCTGCAAAGAGGATGAAATCCCCATCTGCCTGGTGTGTGACAGATCCAAGGGGCACAGAGATCACACCGTGATTCCTGCAGAGGACGCTGCCAAAGAATTCCAGGTAGGGGAATGTCCAGCTGTCACTTTACAATCAAACCCTTTTTTTCCTAAATAACCAGAGGCTTGGGAAATGCACTTCCCCCCGGCTTTAGGGTTTCCTTCAGCCCCAGACAGTCACTCAGGGTACATTCAAGCACAGCACGGCAGCCATTTTGCTGTATATGAAGCGGACGTTATTTAAATCATCACTTCATTTTCCTATGTCTAGTTAACTCATCTACACGGCTCCGTCGATGGAGCCATGTATTCTAGACATACCCTCAGTGAGCCTCCTCTGGAGAGGAACAAGGAATTTCAGGCGTAAGTAGGTTTCCCAGAAATTCCACAGGCTCATGCAACAAGAAACTTGTGGCCTACACACTGGAGTGAGGGGGAGTGAAGAACCCGCACCCCACCCCTCCTGCTTCCCATACCAGAGTTCTGGGCACTGATTGATCCCCCTGCTCTGCCCCTCCTCATGTCCACCACCTCCTGAGGCTATAAACACCATGTCCATGCTCCTGTCCCTGGGGCCGAGGAGCAGGAGGATGCAACTAGGGCTGTGCTCTAAGCATACATCCCCTTCACCCTTTTCTCGCAGAGCTCCTCATGCATCCTTATCCTCATGGGACTTAGGAGGGGCACTGGAGTGGAGCTTCCGTCCTGCAAATCTGCCTGGTAGAATCAGGCAGGAAGTAGGGACAGCCTGGCAATGGGGCACTGCAGCAGAGGCACCGCCTCCCCAGGGCCACTCCCACAAAATCCCAACACTAGTTACCCCTCACCTTGCAGAAGGGGGGTTTACTTACTATCCTTCATGCTGTCAACTTTGACCCAGTCCTGCACCTAGGTCGGTACGTACATTAGTTTTTGGGGAGTCAATTGGTGCCAAGACATTTCTTATTGAGATGTTCTGCCACTCCTCTCTGGCTCACAATCTGTACCTGGTGCCTCCCTATGTCCTTCCATGCTCAATCTAACTTACCCAGCCACACAATTATCAGTAGGGCCTCTTTCCTGGCTGCTGTGTTACTGAACTTAAGTCTTTCTCACTTAATTCCAGGCCTGTTGTTGTTTTCATGTTACAGGTCTTTACTCTGGCCTGCTGACTCCAATTTACCGACCCTCAACTTACTACACCAGTGTCCATTAATGTGACTCCACTTCCTTGGTATTTCTGATTTCATAAGCCTGCCAGGTCTTGCAGCCGGTAGTACAGTGTGTGTGTGTTTGTGCTGGACAAGCTCCCCTTCCTCTATTCCTAACAATAAAAATAGCGCCGCTCCCGTCACTTTCGGTTTCTCCAGGTAAGGCTCCAGGCCCATTTGAAGACTCTGAGAGCAAAGAGAGAAACGCTGCTGGGATTGAAAGTGAGCAGAGAGAAGAGAAGCCAGGAGTATCTGGTAGGTGCCTGTCATTATGAATCTGCCTTTGTAACAAGCCAAAGGGAGGGGCATGCTGAATCAGAGCACTAAGAAGGGGCAGGGACAATCTAGAGACCTGATCATGGTTTATCTCGATCAGTTAGGGAATGATCGCAAAAAAATCACAAATAATTGTTTTAGCAGAATTCCTCCTTAGGATTGGACCCTAAATCAGCAGCTTTCCACCTTTGTGCATTTGTGGACCCCACTGGGAATTTCAAATGGTGACCACATTGAAACTCTATTGTCTCTGTGAAAAGTTAAATCCTGTCCAGTCTTTTTCAGTCTAAGTCTTTTGCAGACATGGTCCATAGATTGCACCCCAGGGTACACAGACGACAGGTTGAAATCCACTGCCATAAACTACTGTTTCTTATCTACAGTATATTAACTATTAGCTTAATTAAACTCACTTCACAAGCAATAATTTATATTTATAAACTAACAGAATTTTGAATTAGAAAATGCCTTGAGCTAGAACAAAACCCCACTGGAACTTTTTCCCTTTAGGGATGTTAACGTGTTCTTGTCTGTAGGTTGAACCAAACATTCTATATTTTTCAAAATTATTAGTAAATCAAAAATTTGATTTTTTTTTTGCTTGGTCAAATTAATTTTTTTTGACAAAAATAAAAATGTTTTATTTCCATTTTGACCGTTGCCTTAAAATATTTTTATAAAAAGCAAGGCCAATTGCAAAAATAGGTCGAATTTTAAAATCCAGGCAAAAAGTAATGAAAATATTTTGATTTTTCATGTATTTATTTCAGTGGCAAACTAACCAGGTGACAGTGTCAGTAATGCAATAAATGTTTCTTTGTCAACAAATCTGAATATTCCTTGAAAAAATTTGATTCAGAAAATTTCACTAAGATCTAGTGCCGAGTTGTGTCCCCTGCTGCTTTGGAGCTGACCCCCTGAGGCCTTCCATCACTCACTATCCCAACCATGTCTCTCTAGGGGGAGGGATAGCTCAGTAGTTTGAGCATTAGCCTGTTAAACTGAGGATTGTAAGTTCAATCCTTGAATCCTTGCAGAGGCTGTTTAGGAATTTGGGGCAAAAATTTGTGAGGGATGGTATTTGGTCCTGCTATGAAGTCAGGGGACTGGACTTGATGACTTTTCAAGGTCCCTTCCAGTTCTAGGAGACAGGCAATCTCCATTTAATTTATGTCAGATACAGAAATGCCTTCATGGGATTCTGGGACCACTCTGTGAAAGGGCATCAGGCTCCATCCCATATCCCCCTAGTGAGGGTGGCCACGGTGTACTTCCTTATTTTTCATACAGAAACAGACACAAGCCGAGAGGCAGATGATTGTGGCTGAGTTTCAGCAGCTGCGGCAGTTCCTGGAGGAACAAGAGCGACTCCTGCTGGCCCAGCTGGAGAAGCTGGATGAGGAGATTGGGAGGCTCCAGACTGACAATGTCGGGAAACTCTCGGAGCAGATTTCCCATCTCAGTGAGCTGATTGGTGAGCTGGAGGGGAAGTGTCAGAAGCCAGCGAGTGAATTCCTGCAGGTGAGACTGAGGGAGAAACGTCCCAGCTCCCCACACAGGGAAGGGAGGCTCCTGAATAACAAGCGCTGGGGTCCAGTCGTCAGATCTGGGTGTAATTCTGCGTGTGCATTGCTGCCATGTGCGTGACTCTTGTGCTTTGCAGAGTCACAGGCACAGAGCTATTAGAGATGGCAAAGTCCCATTCGCTCGGGGGATCCATGGCCCTGGAGCCAGGGCAGGGCCCCTTGTTCCCATGTTTGCAAAATCCCTTCCCTGGGGTCCCCTGTGTCCATCTGATGGGGCTGAGATTCTTTTCTCTCTCTCTCCTCCAGGACGTGAGAAGCACCCTGAGCAGGTAGGTGTCTCTTGCTCCCCTCACACTGCCCAGCGCAGGGGAAGAGCTTGGAGCTGATGCTGGCACCACATCTCCCCAGGACCCTGCAGCCAGATGTGAGGGGAAGGCCACAGGCTGGGCACAAATCTCTGATCAGCGTCAGCCTGCGGCTCTCCCCTGGGCCAGCCGAATCTGGCATTCCCCATTCAG